CGAATGCATGCGGGTATGCTGAAGAGCATAAGCATGAGCTTCATCAACAGCCTTTGCCACATTATTCAAAATGCGGTCATGAGGAAGGTTGGTGTACATTGTGGTGAAATCAACCGTGCGAGGACAGAGGCCACGTAGAGAGGACACATTGTTTTTCAGGTCAATCGCAACCTCATCAACACTCTGGACGATCCAGCATCGTCGAACACCTTCCTGTTGATAGAGCTCAGTGTCTTTCTCACGAAGAGTAGAGATCACGACTTGCAAAGCAGTGCTGAGACAGGACGAAGTAGCCGTTGTGCTAGCCAAGGGTTTGTGAGGAGGCCGTTCATGAATGGTGCGAATAGAAGGACGAGAGCGAGTGCGATATCGTCACAAAGTGTATATATATATAGCTAGCCTGCATGACAGTCTATAAACATGTAGGAGACAAAAGCAGAACAGGGAAAATTAAAAAAGGAAAGCATTTTGCAAAAAGATTGTCTTTTTGTTCATAATTCCAGAAACATGCCTTATCCATAGCCGAGCGGCATGATTCTCTTTTTGCGATGAAGGGCAGAGCGGCATGATTGTTGGCGACGAAGGGCAGAGCGGCATGATTGTCGGCGATGAAGGGCAGAGCGGCATGATTGTCTCTTTGTTCATAATTCCAGAAACATGCCTTATCCGGGGCCCATTGATGGATTTGAATGAAGTGAATAAAGGTTGCCAGAATGGTCTGCTCATCCTCGAAAAAATAGGCTTAAAAGATGTATTCAGGATATCTCCATGCAGACTTACGAGGTCGGCGCCTCCTATGCCAGAGGGCACAGTTCTCAGTGAGTGCGTGTTGGGTTTGAAAGGTGCCTTTGGAGGACTGGTGTTTTCACCTCTGGCTGGAAATCCGGGAGCAACGGTCGTTGAATGTCCGATTCTTTACAATGTGGGGATGAGATCGACATTCAATGACAATAGGGATGGAACGAATCTGCCAACCAAAGAATGTAATTCTGAGGGATATCAGGTCTGCTTTCAGGAAAAAGAAATTGAACAGGATTGCTGGACGGGATTCAAAGGGAAACTACAGAACGCGTTCGTAATGAGCAAGGATAAAGACCTGAACAAAAAAAGACCAATATGCCCTTCCTTTGTGAGTCCAGTACGTCAATGTTGTAGAAGGGGGATGGAGGTCTGCCCGCCTGCCCGACTTCAAGTTGGAGAACCTTGTTGATTCCATCTTAGATCACGGGTTCTTCAAGTCATGTGGCGAAGTGCGCCTACAGAACACAGGGATCCTAATGGGTGGCCAAGCAAGCCCTCCTCTTGCCTGTCTTGTATGTATGTATGCCCAAAACCAGTTATTGAGAAGCCTTGGGAAAGATGAGAAGTCAATTTTTGGAAAAAGCTACGTTGACGATCTCCTTCTGATTGTTTTTTTTAGAAACTCCGAGGAAGAAGCCCTCTCTCTCTTATGAGCAGAATAAGCTCCTGCTATCACAAGGACTTGCGACTAGAGAGGACTGACTCAGGAGACAACATCGTTGAGTTTCTGGAAACAAAGATTTTTGTCTCGGATAATCCCCCTGAAGTCATCATGATTCACAAGTTTAAACCACCTAGATTTGAAATTTGCCGAGCCCGCAGGCAGTGGATACCAATGGGAAAAATCAGGGCAGTACCATTACCGCCTTCTGTGTTGGACCCACCGCCAGTGGATGGAACAAAAACGAGGCTGTTGATTTCTCGTTTTCACTCATACCCCACCCCCTGACTGTAACTGCGGTCAGATACATTCAGGAAAGAGCTAGCCTGAGCACCAAATGGATTCCTCCCTGCCTCTCACGGCAAGGAGGCGGGCTGTCAGAAAGGTCTCTTCTTTATGAAAGGAAAGAAAAAAAACTTAGAAAGCTCTGGATGCGATTGTGGTCATATTCATCCAGGCTTTGGTGTCTGTGCAGTCAGACACATTCTCCAAAGTGCTGGCAGCTCGTGTCACTGTAACAGTTTTTTTTTGTTTTTTTTTTTGCCATTTTTGTTTTCCTCACCTCGGAATCCGTAATGATTGTGCTTGTGTCAGTTTGTACACCCATAGACTGTTGAAATACAGACCAAGGTTCGACTCCCAATGCAACAAATGAACTTACTTACCATAGGCCGTTCAATCTGGACGTGTTGTTGAACGGCCTATGGTAAGTTCGTTGATTGCACCTGGAGCCGAACTTGGGTGTGTTGAACGGCCTATGGTAAGTTCGCTGATTGCATGTGGAGTCGAACTTTGGTCTGTATTTCAACAGTTCATAGGTGTGCAAACTGACACGAGCAAGAAGTACCAAAAAGAGAAAAGAAACAAAAAGAAAAAAAACTATCACGTACCTGCATCTGTATCTGGCACTATTCCAAGCCGAGACGCAGACAATTTCTCAAACCTGCTGCCAGCACCCACGAGAAAGGTAAGTGAGTTTTCGGTTTTTACTTCCTTTTGTCTGTGTAAGGGCGAACGGGCACAGATGCAAGACTGGCCAAAGAAAGGACAAAAAGTGGGAAAGAAACTGAGCTGGCCTCCGTTGAAACAGGCGCCTGCCTCGTCTCTGGAGACCACCTGTCTCCGAAAGCAAGCGAGGTGGGGGCGCTGGCTTTTATTTTGTTTCTGTTTTTTTTTTTAACGTTTTTTGCCTTTTGCCTCTCTTACGTGCGTGTCTTTCCACATGTACGGCCTGCATGAGAAGGACATCTTACAGCCCGTTTTTCTTTTCCGTTGGGCCCACGGGCCTCCTACCCATATCGCTCTTCCCGGCCTTCCCCGAACCCCGGAATTTTCTTGTGGCGACAAGTTCACTTTTCTGCAGGGCTGGGGGCGTGTACTGGTGGTTTGAAAACTCGGACAGTACCTGGGCAGACCCTACTCAGCCCAGATATATGATCACACGATGCTTCTCCTCGTTCAGGCCTAAAGAATAAAAAGTCGTGCATTTGATGGGAACCATCCACCACATTAACTCTACTACCAACTGTGAAGCTCTGTTGTCGCTTTTAGTAGCAACTTTTCACCACGAACAGAAAGGGACTGGCTTTCCGAGTGGGATTATTTTTTCGACCTTTCAGAAGGTAGCAAGTACGCTTGGGGGTATATGGGTGGAGTTAGCACATATGCTTCAAAACTGTTATGATGGATGGACGTGAGAATTGGCCCTTCACGTGGCAAAGCGAAGGTAGTATACTCAACGTTTTTCCAGACGTTGGATATCCAGTCTGGGAACACAATACCTTGGGTCTGATATATGACCTGCAGTACTTTTTGAAATATGGTACCATGGACACAACGTGTTTTTCAGGCATAAGGTAGTATCCGGTCCGGGAACTCTGTAATTCGGGTTTGACATATGACCTGCTGCTTCCCGCTCTCAGATACGTGCAATTATTTTCTCAAAGTAAAGTAACGGGCAGTACTCAAGTTTCCGCTGGGACTATTATACCTCGGGCATGAACCTGGCCAACGGGCTCCTGCACGTTCAAACTCCGATATCTGCTCAGGACTCCCGCTCAGTGGAAGTACCTACACCAGCTAATTTGTCCACATCCAAAAGATTCAACGGAAGCTTTGTGAAGATATAGAGGTTTATTGCGGTATGTACCTGGCCTAGACTGCTGTGACGAGAGAGCTTTTTTGAGAGCTCCGCTTTGTCCTGTAGTCTTTTCATTTTAATGTTTTCGGACATATTTGTGATTTTTTTATTTTTTGATTAAAACTTTATTTGATGCCCAGAGGCGTCATAGGAGGTAGCCAAGTAGTATATTTTGAGGAGCGGTAGCTCCCATACAGGCTGAGAAGCATTTGAGGGAGAAGGTCTGCAGTACAGTGGGACCGTACTTGATGATGTAGTGGTGGGACCGTACTTGATGATGTAGTGGTGCGCTGTGAGATGTACTCCTCAGCTACATTATCTTTCTTCATTTTCAATTCAAGAGGGCACAGTGCCAAACAGACGGAACTTGACGAAAAAATGGGGAAAGGGAAAAAGAAGCAAAAGAAAAGGAAAAAAGAAAAAGAAAGAAAAAGAAAAAGAAAAGGAAAAAGGGAGCAGGTCGCGCTGCACGATGACTCCCTTCCCATGTCTTTTCCATGACAGTGGACCATTAACCCGTGCTGATACACGGGCCAATCATTCCCCAGGGTTGAAGTCCCACAGCCCAAGTTGAGTTTTCTCAACGCTGAGCTTTCTATCACGTGTGGCATGGTGGGACAGAGCGCTGCCATTGATGTATTGTGAATCCAATGGTACGGACATACAGGAGAATAACCTATTAGATTTGGCCATTTTGTAGATTTTTTATTCGACATGAAATCCGTTTTGTAGTATGCTTTGGCCCTTTCTGTTTGGGCGGGAAACCATTTTAAACCACCAGTACTTGGCCCATATATCGGCCGCGGGCCTTAGCGTTAACGCTAAGCGAAGTTCGCGCTTCGGGCAACCGGACCTAGAAGGTTGGCGCCGCCAGCCTTTCCGAAAACAAAAATGGAATTGGCGCTTCGGCGGGAAACGGCGCGCAGGGCACTTCCAGGCTTGGCTGCGATAGCTGGGCCAAGTACTGGTGGTTTAAGTTGAGAAAACTACCCTACCCCCCCCTCTTCCCCCCCCCAAAGGGTAGATTTCTCAACTTATGTGCCTTTCTTTTTTTTGTTTTTTTACACATCATTACATCCTGAAACGGAGAAACTCTGACAGCTGTGTTTGGCTCTCTGGCGTCAAACTCGTTTCCTTCTTTGGCCAATGAATGCATTTGGCCATCCATGTTGTCCCTGTCCATTTTACAAATGGTGACCTCCTGCCCCCTCACCACGGGGAGTATCCCTTTTCCACGGAGACATTCACTCCGACTGTGCCAGACGTGTTTCATTTCTTCGAGTTCCGTTATCAAAATTAAGGAGAAAAGCTGTTTCTAGCTTTTTTTTCAGTTTTTCAATTATTTGTTTCAAAATTTATTAATGTCGAAATGGTGTCACACCGTTGCATTTTCTAAACTCAACTTGGGCATTAAGAAATCATGTGCAAAAGGAACTACCAAAGGAAAAACGAATCAAAACCACAAAAAAGAAACGAGCGGTCAGCGCTGCGTGATCATGTCCACCATTCATCCGGAGTTATTACCAACCCCTGCCAATCCGCACTACCACCCGCGCGGCAGGGGTCTGTGCCCACAGGCCCCAAACTGCTGACAGAGACCCCGCAAACCCACCCACCTCCTCGCGATTTAAAGCGGATAGCACCTAACCACACTCGTCTTTACAAAAACAGCATCGTGGTGGGAGTTGGTGATTTTGTAAAGAGGAGTGTAGGGAGGTGCGATCCGCTTTAAATCGCGAGGAGGTGGGTGGGTTTGCGGGGTCTCTGTCAGCGGTTTGGGGCCTGTGGGCACAGACCCCTGCCGCACGGGTGGTAGGGCGGATTGGCAGGGGTTGGTAATAACCATGGCAGCGATCCGGACTACCGGACCGGGATCCGGCCTGTCTGGAGTCCGGTGTCCGGTGAACCGGTCCGGATTCCGAACATTTTTGGCAACGGCCTTTTTTTTTTCGCGGCCCGGGGCGTTTCCTCATGACCTGGGCCGCCCACCAAAAATAAGGGCCCGTTTTTTAAGGCCTCCGAGCGAGATCCGGTAGGGGCCGGAACTTTCCTCTTGTGATTGTCTGTTTTTTTTCCCTTTTGTTTCTTCTGCCCATTTGAATGGGCTTTCTCCGTTTTGGCGGCCCGGAAGTGAAAGCGGGCTTCGATTTTGAAGTCCTTCGTTGGTGACTTTGGCTGCCCCCCTCCCGGTACGACATTCAAACGTATGCACGCTCGGTACTGCCGCCATCGCCCGAGGGAGGAAGAAGCAGGGCAAGGAGGCGAGCACAGCAGGCAAGGAGCAGACATGGAGCAGGCACAGCACGGCTAGCAGCGGCCGCAGCAAGCGCAGCGTGAGGAGCACAGCACAGGGCAGCGCAAGCAGGTCAGTCTCTCTCTCTCTCTCTCTCTCTCTCTCTCTCTCTCTCTCTCTCTCTCTCTCTCTCTCTCTCTCTCTCTCTCTTTTATCACTTCGTCGTCATGGTCTTCCTCGTAACCATACACCGTCGTCCTAATCATCGTTGTCTCGTCGTCGTTGTCCTTTCCTCGTCCTTGTTGTTGTTTCCTCCTCGTTGTCATCGCTTCCTCCACGTCGTTTCCTCGGCGTTTCCCTCTCGTTTCCTCTTCATGGTCGTCTTCCTGCTTTCTCCTCCTCCATCTGCCTCCTCCTCCACGGCTTCGTCTTCCTCCCGCTCCTCCTCCTCCACATCTTCCTCGTCGTCCTCCTTGTCCTCCCCCTCCTCCTCCACGTCTTTGTCCTCCTCCTGCTCCTCCACATCTTTCTCCTCGTCCTCCTCAACGTCTTCGTCCTCCTCCCGATCGTCCTCCACGTCTACTTCGTCCTTGTCCTCCTCGTCGTCTTCTTTCTCCTTGTCCTCCTCGTCTTCTTTGTCCTTGTCATGTACTTGGTATAACCTCCCGCCCCTTGGTTCTGCCCTTGCCACGAGGCGCGCCTTTTTTTCTTTTCTTTTCTAGATCTCGGTCATCATTCTCCTCGTGCTCCCCGTCAATGTCATAAGCTTCGTCTTCGTCCTCCCTCCTCCTCCTCTTCGCCCCCCTCCCCCTCTCCTCCTCGGCTTCATCCTTCTCCTCAACGTTTTCATCCTCCCACTCCTCCTCCACGTCTTCTTCGTCTTCGTCCTCCTCCACGTCTTCGTCCTCCTCCTCCTCCTCCTCGTCTACCTCCTCGCCTTGGTCCTCGTCATGTACTTGTTGTTACCTCCCACCCCCCGCTTCTGCCCGTGCCACGTGGCACCTTTCTTTTTTTTCCCTCGGATCTTGGTGGTCGTTCTGGTCGTGCTCCCCGTCACGTCTTCGTCCTCCTCCTCCTCCTCTTTGGCCCCCCTCCCCCTCTTCCTCCTCCTCGGCTTCGTCTTTCTCCTTAACTTCTTCGTCCTCCCACTCCTCCACGTCTTCTTCGTCTTCGTCCTCCTCCACGTCTTCGTCGTCGTCGTCCTCCTCCTCCTCCTCCAGCTCCTCGCCTTGGTCCTCGTCATGTACTTGTTACCTCCCGCCCCCCGCTTCTGCTTGTGCCACGTGGCACCTTTCTTTTTTCCCCCCCGGATCTTGGTGATCGTTTTCCTCGTGTTCCCCGTCAATATCGTAAGCTTCATCTTCGTCCTCCTCCTCCTCTTCGGCCCCCTCCCCCTCCTCCTTCTCCTCGGCTTCGTCCTTCTCCTCAACTTCTTCGTCCTCCCACTCCTCCACGTCTTCTTCGTCGTCGTCCTCCTCCTCGTCCTCGCCTTGGTCCTCGCTATCTCCTTGCTATTACCTCCCACCTCCCCCTTCTGCCAGTGCCACGTAGCACCC